TTAGGTGGACACCCCTTTCCACTAGCTTTACAAAGATGTTTTGAATATCAAAAAATCTATTTTGAGCCATACAACACAAATCCCACTTCAAATGTCCCATACACATAGCACAACTCAAAATACAACAACCTGACACCATGCTTAATTAAGAGGACAGCAGATAATGAGCTGCATAAGCCCCGCCCATGACACAATGGTTATTTGTGAGGACAGTAGCTATACAACACACAAACATGTCACTGAAGTGTATTAAAGGGACAAACATGATTAAATGGAACATAACTTTATACAAACGTGTTGGATTGTGCATTACAAGAACAAACCTTTTATAAACGGACAAAATGTTTTGCACAACAGCATAGGAATACCTGATTTGTGATGTAATATTTTAATAGACAATATAGTGTACCATAGATATATAGCTTAAAAGTATGTTAATGTGTTTTGGTTATTGCTTGCCTCCTGTTTGCAATCTGTTGTTTTCATGCAAATGTAGAACCACATTCTAATACTCTCCAGAGGGGTATACTACAAGCAGGTCTTCCGAGACAAATTAAATCCATTTGCAAGTAAATGCTTATATTTGCAGCACTGCTAATTGCAATTACATCATCGATATGAAAAGAACCGATAACCATTTTATAGCAAAGTGACCGAACTGGTTTATCACTAATACAAAATGCTATTTGCCCTACAAGACTGCTCATCTACTTGGAGCTTTACCTTTTAAAAGCTGATACAAAAGGACATATTGCACCTTGCACAGTGAACAATGAGCCAAGTTTAATGGTTATTTTCACATAACATTTTCTCACATGAAAATTGAGCTAAGACTAAATCTTTATTATTTTAAACATATAACTCTCCTTCCAGCATTACCTTGGTACGACAGAGGATTAGGGCCACACAAAAAAGAAAAGATAGGAGAATAAAGTCATAATTACGAGATTAAAGTAGCTATGTTAGGAGAATAAAGATGAAATTATCCCGGGGGCTGAGGGGTCGTTGCAGCAGATCTTCAAGGAAGTTATATTGACAGATTGGAACTGGAACGGATCAATAACTCATAAACAAAACGTTGCTAAAACACAAACTAACTACCGTAATAAGGTAAACAACTATCCACAATCCAATTTTCATCAAAACAACCTCACACCGGCCGCCCTCCAAGCTGGACACATAACACAGGTGTCTGTCTGCAGCCGGAGGAGAGAGGAGGGGTCATGGACCGTCTACAAAGTGCAACGCTGAAGAAAATACTGCAAATAAACTACTAAAACCACCTATTTTCGCAAAGTTGCATGTGTAGTTTAAGCAACAGTATATTATTGTGTGATTTAAAATGTAATGTTTGTAGCTTTATAACAGAGCAGTTATTGAGTATAGTATCTTTATTCAGCGTTGCACTTTGTAGACGGTCCCTGACCCCTCCTCTCTCCCCTGGCTGCAGACAGACACCTGTGTGATGTGTCCAGCTCAGAGGGCGGCGGGTGTGAAGTTGTTTTGATGAAATTGGATTGTGGATAGTTGTTTACCTTATTACGGTAGTTAGTTTCTGTTTTAGCAACGTTTTGTTTATGAGTGTTTGATCCGTGAAGTTCCAATCCTTCAATATAACTATCTGCTGCAACGACCCCTCAGCCCCCGGAATGATTTCATCTTTATTCTCCTAACATAACAGCTTTAATCTCGTAATTATCCTTATAATAAAACATTGCTCCTACATGTAACATAATAATGAAAAGTTTAACTGTGAACTGTCCTCACTGCATGTTCGATTAAATCTCATCATCTTTTTTGTAGCAGTGCTTTTTTCTTCTGAGCCGTGCCTTGGTTCCTGACGAAGTCTCTAATATTTTGCAAAGAGCGACCAGCCAGAATAGGATGCTCTGCTGCTTTGCACTGTCTGCATTCTATCATCGTGGCCAATTTCCCCTTGGCAATGTGTGCATTAAAGTGTCTCAAAACTGCTGCCACCTCTTTTGGAGACCACTTCTGTTTTTGCATCCTCCTGGGATTCCTCTCCACAGCATTTTCAAGAGACTCTACAAACAGAAAAAGAGATCAGTCAATGGTAACCACGTTAACACGTATTTTATTTAAGATGTATTATGTTACTTACTAAAACTATAACTACAAATGGGTTTGGGATGAAGGAATCGAACTGTCTTTCCGGCTTTCCTTCTTCCAATTTCTGATATTGTGCTGGTTCTGAACAATAGCATGTAAGGATCAAATGCTAATGCTTGCTCTTTGCCATATTTAAACATCTGTAAGTCTAACTGTGCAGAGCTTGCAGGAATGATTCTTCTGTATATAGGGTTACGTTTTCTTTTTTTACTTAAGCAGCTTAAAGTTAGTATTTGACATAATAATAGTACTAACAGGATCAAGTTTTCTGAGACTTGTATTTCGTCCTCACAATGTTTTTAAATGACTTCTTAACAGGAAAAAGACGCATGTAACAATATAGTTTCAGGAAACCATATTCTGATCATTTTTGGTCATGATAAACTCAAATCTTCCAGTTTAACAGAAAAATTCAGTTCATGGCTTTAACGTTTAACGCTTCACGATAACCTGAACCAGGGTTTAACCTCCATGCTTGAGAAAGTGACTCATTGGTAGTAGCAGAATATTTTCTGTACATTTACCAGGTGGCTCATGCATGTCCCCTCTCCTGCCAGGCTCCTTGTCATTCTCATCTGCATTTGTGTTCAATGATAGAAAAGAAGAAGAAAACATCCATCTTAACCAAGAGATTTGTGTAAATATTCAATCTTCATTTCAGCTATTATGTTATTACATGATTACAAAAGCAGGGAGTCTACACCCGCACCTTGACAAAAAAGAAAGGTGATACTTAAAGTTGTGCACCTACTGAGCAGCTCTTACTGTGGATTAGCTTATTTTAAGTAAATGTTCCAGCTCAGCTCTTGTTCTTACAATGTTGTGTCGTTTATTGTAAGTCGCTTTGGACCAAAATTAACTAAATGTATGTAGCCTTTGCTGAGAGTGATTTTAAGATATCAAAAACATTTGAAGGAGCACCGACATTTAGATGATAGCAGCTTGATAGAAGAACAGCGGCTCTTCATCCTCCGCAGAATGTGGAGGTTCAATATGGACTCCAGGATACTCTGCAATTTTTACAGGTGCACCATAGAGAGTATCCTGACTGGCTCTTGTTGTGAGTTATTACAATCAGGTAGAAAGACACTGATTATAGTATTTCATATCTAAAGAGTATGATCATTCAGTTTAACAGAAGAAAAACAGCATTGACACACAGTCCTCTTAGTGTCTAAAGCGGTCCAGTAGAGTGATACACAGGACCTGCGTATCTAACCTCAGCATTCACATCCAGTCTTCATGGTTTATAACTGGAAAGAAACATGTAACTAATACCAACATTGAGTTGTGGTTAACTCACCTGTTGAATGTCATCATAGTGGGACTCAGATGCCATGGCAGCATGTTCATACAGAGGGTGTTTCTCAATCGCGAGTACACTTGCTTGGTAGCACATGTCTGCCGAGCATCTTGCTTCAGAAGCGAGTCAAGAATACTTCCTGGCATTCGGAAAACAAAGAGTGGAACACGCTAGCAAGTGTGCAGGTGTGCGTCATATGAGAGGCCCTGCCTTACATCTTCCGCCACAGATTTGGGGAAATTGGTCCGTGCGCAAAGCTTTGTGGGGATTTTAAGACCGCGGAGTCTACTCATGTGCAGCCTCGATATTTCTCCAAACGGAGTACGCCGGGCTCGGTAGATTTCCAAGTATGCTGGAGATTGGAACAGTACTTCGGCGGCACTCGATGACGTAGTATGCTTGAAATAGTGGCTCTGAAGCAGCTTTACTCGCGATTGAGAAACACCCAGAGTCTCTGCCTCAGTGGAAATCTTGTGGATGAAGAAGGACTAAGTTTAATCACTAAACATCCAGAGTAGTACACAAATGCTTCACTGGCTCTTGTTGTGAGTTATTACAATCAGGTAGAAAGACACTGATTATAGTATTCCATATCTAAAGAGTATGATCATTCAGTTTAACAGAAGAAAAACAGCATTGACACACAGTCCTCTTAGTGTCTAAAGCTGTCCAGTAGAGTGATACACAGGACCTGTGTATCTAACCTCGGCATTCACATCCAGTCTTCATGGTTTGTAACTGGAAAGAAACATGTAACTAATACCAACATTGAGTTGTGGTTAACTCACCTGTTGAATGTCATCATAGTGGGACTCAGATGTCATGGCAGCATGTTCATACAGAGGCCGTTTCTCAATCGCGAGGATGCTTGCTTGGTAGCACAGCCGAGCCGAGCATCTTGCTTCAGAAGCGAGTCAAGAATACTTCCTGGCATTCTGAAAACGAAGAGTGGAACAGGCTAGCAAGTGTGCAGGTGTGCGTCATATGAGAGGCCCCGCCTTACATCTTCCGCCACAGATTTGGGGAAATTGGTCCATGCGCAAAGCATTGTGGGGATTTTAAGGACGCGAAGTCTACCCATGTGCAGCCTCGAAATTTCCCCCAAACCAAGGACGCAGCCTCGGTGGAATTCCAAGTATGCTGGAGATTGGAACAGTCCTTCGGCGGCACTCGATGACGTAGCATCCTTGAAATATTGGCTTGGAAGCCAATATCCTCACGATTGAGAAACGGCCAGAGTCTCTGCCTCAGTGGAAATCTTGTGGATGAAGAAGGACTAAGTTTAATCACTAAACATCCAGAGTAGTACACAAATGCTTCACTTGCTCTTGTTGTGAGTTATTACAATCAGGTAGAAAGACACTGATTATAGTATTTCATATCTAAAGAGTATGATCATTCAGTTTAACAGAAGAAAAACAGCATTGACACACAGTCCTCTTAGTGTCTAAAGCGGTCCACTAGAGTTATACACAGGACCTGCGTATCTAACCTCAGCATTCACATCCAGTCTTCATGGTTTATAACTGGAAAGAAACATGTAACTAATACCAACATTGAGCTGTGGTTAACTCATCTGTTGAATGTCATCATAGTGGGACTCAGATGCCATGGCAGCATCTTCATGCAGAGTCTCTGCCTCAGTGGAAATCTTGTGGATGAAGAAGGACCAAGTTTAATCACTAAACATCCAGAGTAGTACACAAATGCTTTACTTGCCTGTTGTTGTGAGTTAACACACAATATCCACCTCATAGTTCAATAACAGGTCATCAAGTCAATGGCCATCATTTAAAATCATCTTTTGTATTAATAGCAACTGTTGAACTTTCTGACATTTCAATTTTCCATGTGACTAACATATTGGACATGGCAGAGCTAAGTTTGTTGTGAAAATAGTGTTAAATGATAGATTTACATAGCAGAGTGTTGATACAAGACACCATTCGTAAATACCTTGCATCTCCATGGCCAATCAGAATCACTGTAGTCATAAGCTATCTCTTCTCCGGGACTGGTGTCTTTGAGTGCAAAAAGACAAAGATGGGGCTTTCCATCCACTTTGTTCAATTTCATTTTGCAGTTCGGGTTCACATGGTCATCGTTGACAAGTCTCCCTAGGGAGTTGTCCTCTTTGGCAGCATCAACACTGATTGGGCAAGGACACAATTCTGATTACAAACTAACAGTATTACAACCACAGCAAACTAGCATTAGATAAAATACATATAGACAAAAAAAGGCTCAAAATGTACACTGTATGCCCAACTTAACATCAAGATAGCAGCGTTTGTATGTCTGGGTAACTACACATTTAGAAATAACATTACAATATTTACTTACCATAACTCTCCATTTATACGAAAGTCAAACATGAAAACCTTAAGTGCATTATGGTATACTTGTTGCCGGTGTTCACGTTCAGATTTAGTTATGACTTCCCCTTTATATTCAATTAGGAAGTCTCCGTTTTGAAAGGGTCGGCAGCTGAACACTCCTCGACCTAACAAAGATCAGAGGATGGGTCAGGAGAAGTGATGAGGTTAAACAACAATACACATTTGTCATGATAATGACAAGAATAGTAAGCAAATACTTTTGTCACTCACCTTTGAAGGAATTTATGAACTTCACATCAAATCCATCCTTGTCTTTGCACAAGGATGTAAAATGTGCAGCCTCTTCTCTAGGTTTAATCTTTGCTCTCCGGGGTCTTGCTGATGCCATATCCAGCAAAGGGTTAATTTTCACTATTGGTGAGAAAACAGACCCTTTGATTATCTACGCAAGCCATGCCACTGAAACAGCTCAATATGTGTAACAATGGCTGCTAAGTCAGTGCATTTGGCATCTATAAACAAAATAAACTGTTCATCTTCATGTTTTCACTGGATGCTTCCCTCACAATCTCAACCACAGTGTTAACGCTGTTATGTATAGGTTATTGTATGGGTTTAAATGTACTTTACACTCAGATGCAGAAACAGATGACTAACTAACAGGCTGCTTCCAGCAGCTAACAGCTTGAAAAGTGCAGACAAATGTAAGACATGGAAAGCTGTGATTATAAGACGGCAATAACATAGGTAACAGTCAGCAATCACGCTAAATATCTGAGATATTTCATCAACTTAATCAGAGCATAGTTCACTGTTTACGCAGAAACGGGCTAACAGCTATGTCTGTGAAGCATGCTACTTTTACAATGTTTTACTCACATGGAATTGGAACTTACCAGGATGAATTACTCTCATCAATATTATCTACAAATGCTTGCTCAATAAATGTATGGAAAAAACTGCCTTAAATAACATTATTTTGAATAAAAAACTCAAATGTAGGCCTACTGACTAGATGAATGCTGACACGTGTCCCCAATTAAGCTAGCATTAGCCGTAGCTGCTAACGTTTTAGCCTAAAACGTGTCTCTAATTCCAGTGTTTCCCCTACCATTGTCTTGGAGGGGCGCTGCGCCCCGCCTGAAATTCAAGGTGTTTAAAAAAATTGCAACTAATCTATAGCCTATCTACTGTCACTTTTCACATTGAACATGTGCTCTTTTATTAAATAAACTACATGCTTTCATTTTAAGTTGTGAGTTTAGTGTTTTTGACCCTAAGAAACAATGATGCATTAATCAATAACAATAATCCACAGCTCCTCTCTCTGCTCCAGAGGATTTAAAAAATATATATCCTAATGCCACCCCCCCCCCCCAAAGCAGTAAACCTAGGGGAAACACTGAATTCCATACAGTTTCAACAAGCTTCCAATATAAAAACAGTGAGAAGCCTCGAAACAAGAATGAAAACATAACATATTAGCTGTGTCATTTAAGTTTTTACACCAGTCCTACCTTGAACTTCTCCTCACGTCTGGCGAATGAAATGCGAATATGCCCTGACTGTCGCCGCAGTCCGGGGAGTCCCTCCCCCTTGTGAATTTCCACGGACTGCTGATTCCCAAACGTCAAGATATTATTAAGGGCAAATGTATACATTCACGATTGAATGCATGTAAACAAAGATAAAGTTACCTTATTAAAAGTAAATTATAATTTATTGTAACATTTAGCTGAGCTCCATGTAATCCGGATACTCTGCCTATTTTTCGGACATATGATGATGCCTGCTCGGCCCGGGTCCGGACACAGAAATAATTTGCGTGGTTACCCGCTGGGGTATTGCGAACTAAAAAGTTGCCTGGCTGGTGCATGGGCTGGAGCTGCAAACCAAAACGTGAGAGGGTTACGTTGCAGGCTGTGGAAAGATTAACCTGAACTATATAGCGAGTACGGAGAAAACAATACAGTTGCTACATAAGCAGTAGAGCTGAGAACGCAACCCCACATATTAATGTACATAGCCTATGTAGTAATGTTACGTAACATTAACCAGTACCCGTACATTTTCCACCACATTTTAGCTGACTATCCGTTACTATCATTGACCGTCATAACAGCGGCACAAGCCATTCTTCTGTTGTTGTTTTATACAATAATGACATAATATAGTATTAAACAAAAGCCTGATAATTAAATGTCTAAACTGCAATGAAATGTAGGTAGTATTAGACATAATAATAATAATAATATTAATAATAATTACATAATAATAACATAATAATAATTATTATTATGTTATTATTATTATTATTATTATTATGATTATTATTACACACACAGCATTTTTCACAGAAACATGAATTGTCAGGACCATCCGGCAGTCAGCCAATCAGAGCTCCTTCTGTGTGAATATTCATGAGCGGGTGCAATACCCAAAACCAGCTGTATGAGCGCTGTTCTGACACACAGAAAATACACAATTTCTGGGTTTTGTGGATAAAAAGGTTTTTTTTTTTTTTTTGGGTATTTAAGCTTTCTACACCTATAGAAACACTTCTACGCTTTTAGAATTTGTATTTATTAGCAGGACACCGACCCTGTCCTGTTAATACAAAATGTCTGGCTAATGTCGGTGTGTATTCATACCAAAAGTCCTCTTAATTAACAAAGGTGCACACACACACACACACACACACACACACACACACACACACACACACACACACACACACACACACACACACACACACACACACACACACACACACACACACACACACACACACACACACACACACACACACACACACACACACACACACACACACACACACACACACACACACACACACTATTATTGTATGAGAGAGGTTCCAGGTTGAATTGAAGCGAATATTTGTAATGTTCAGAGGTTGTTGTGTTTAATATTCATGAGAATATTTGTCATTGTTCAAATGATAATAAACAAACATATAAAGCATATTTGTCCACTCATATGTTGATAAGAGTATTACAAACTTGAAAGATATCCCTCTAAGGTACATTTAGAACAGATAAAAAATGTGCGATTAATTTGCGATTAACTATGGACAATCATGCGATTAATCGCGATTAAATATTTTAATCGACTGACAGCCCTAATTTATATTATATTTTAAACGGCATCATGTAAGCTGCGCTGACAGGCGACACAGAGGTCCACAGTGAATCCCCCCACCCCACCCCCGTTGACAGTTCACGGGCGCGTCCAAAGTGTGTAATAATTTTGCGCTTTTACTTGAGTAACATTTTAATGCAGGACTTTTACTTGTAACAGAGTATTCCTACATTTAGGTAGGCTACTTCTACTTGTACTTAACACTAGAACCACCAGGGGTCGCTGTATAGCCTACCTAAAACCGCCAACGTGTAAAATGTACCCGCTATTAGAATGCATTGATTGTCAAGGTACAATGTTATTTTATTTATCATTCTAGAACACAATGAGTGTTGCCACTAGAACACAATGAGTGTTGCCACTATACTCGCCGTGGCATGTGCCTTGGCATTTGCAGGCAGTGGCAAGTACTTCCGGCATCTGCCACAGAGGCGGAAGTACTTGCCACAGATACCACAGAGTAGTGCACTACTCTGTGGTATGGTCTCTTG